CTCTCTCTCTCTCTCTCTCTCTCTCTCTCTCTGTCTGTCTGTCTGTCTGTCTGTCTGTCTCTCTCTCTCTCTCTCTCTCTCTCTCTCTCTCTCTCTCTCTCTCTCTCTCTGTATGTCCATCTCTCTCTCTCTCTGTGTATGTCCATCTCTCTCTCTCTCTGTCCGTCTCTCTCTCTGTCTGTCTGTCTGTCTCTCTGTCCGTCCGTCCGTCCGTCCCTCTCTGTCAGTCTCTCCGTCCGTCCGTCTCTCTCTGTCTGTCTGTCTGTCCGTCTCTCTCCGTCTCTCTCTCTCTCTCTCTCTCTGTCCCTCTCTCTGTCTGTCTGTCTGTCTGTCTGTCCGTCTCTCTCTCTCTCTCTCTCTGTCTGTCTGTCTCTCTGTCTGTCCGTCTCTCTGTCCATCTCTCTCTCTGTCTCTCTCTCTCTCTGTCTCTCTCTCTCTCTCCATCCGTCTGTCTGTCTCTCTGTCTGTCCATCTCTCTCTCTCTCTCCCTGTCTGTCTCTCTCTCTCCCTGTCTCTCTGTCTGTCTGTCTCTCTCTGTCTCTCTCTGTCTCTCGGTCTCTCTCTCCATCTGTCTGTCTGTCTGTCTGCCTCTCTCTCTCTGTCTCTCACTCTCTCCGTCTGTCTGTTTGTCTCTCTCTCTCTCTCTCTCTCTCTGTCTCTCTCTGTCTCTCTCTCTGTCTCTCTGTCTGTCTGTCTGTCTGTCTGTCTCTCGGTCTGTCTCTCTGTCTGTCTGTCTGTCTGTCCATCTCTCTCTCTCTCTCCGTCTCTCTCTCCGTCTGTCTGTCTCTGTCTCTCTCTCTGTCTGTCTCTCTCTCTCTCTCTCCGATATCTCTACACAGTAGAACCAGGTACCTGTTCACGAGTCCTTTCACGTTCCTCTTCATTTTCTCCAGCTCTGCTCGGCGTTTATCGTCTCCAGCGTTCCTCAGGTGAGGCGGGACGTATTTACCTGAAGTCACCTGCACACGAGAAGATTAAAACTCCATTACCCAGCATGCAACATTCAAAAGATTCAAAGGTTTTATTGTCATCAATACATATAATAGAAATAAAGGAGAGTATTCTCACGATTTCAGGAGTCTTTGCTTCAGGAGTGACTGCTTCATCTTCCTCTGCTTTATCTTCATCGTCAGCTGCTTCTTCCTCCATTTCCTCCTCTTCCTCAACCACTTCATCCTCCTCACTCTCATCCTCTATTGAGCCCATATCTTCATCACTCTCTTCTGTCTCCTCATCTCCATCTTCTTCCTCCTCATCCACATCTTCTTCCTCCTCATCTCCATCTTTTCCTTCCTCTTCAGAGTCACTTTCTTCAAGCTTTTCAAAATTATTCTTCGCCATTTCCATGTCCTCGTCTTCGTCGTACATCCCTTCAGCGTTGGATCCAGAGTCCAATATTCCCAGGATGTAGTCCAGACCATCGGTGACGAAGGACTGAGGAAGACTCTTCTTGTTCTTCCTCTTGTTTAACCCCAGGCATTTCTCCAGTTTCTTGATCTCTCTGTCTTCCTGTTCGTTCGCCTCCAAAAGAGCTATTTTTCTGGACTCCTGAAGCTTGTTGACTTTCTTTGAAGGTTTCTTAGATTTGTTTGGTTGCTCTGTAGCTTCACTTGTTGACACTTCTTCTTCGTTTACTTTAGGTTTCTTCTTCTTCTTCAGCCTCTTCTTCTTGGTGTGTTTCTCTAGCTCTTCATTGGGGGGTTCGATGAGGGTCTTGTTCCCCTCGTAGTAGTTTTTCATTTTGGCTTTTTTAAACTTTCGCGTCTCTTTACGCAGATCTTTCCTGCTTTTCTTTTTCACAAATCTCAAGCCATGGTCATTCTCTCCATCGTCTTCCCCTGCATTTTTTTTAATAAACTCATCCACTGCCACCAGACACTTCTCCAACACTTCATTCCCCTTCTTCTTGTTGGTGTTTTGCTTCCATTTACCCTTCATTTCTGCACATTAAACTACACTCCTTTCAAATGCGGATTAGATAACAAGCCTTGTAATGAACTACAGGCGATTTAAAACCACCTACGGGTGTAAATTACAGCTTAAAAAGCTATTTAAAACAGGTAAATACCTCAGAAAACACGAACATGTGGACACGCCGGGGACCTGTCTTCTTCGTTGGTGGAGGGAGCGTAGCTTGTTGATGACGTACTTTATTTTGGGGGCGTTTTAAAACAATTTATTTTATTTTATTAATCAAGAGTCATTAACACATTTACATGTTGTCTGTACATGTCTTTTTATATATAAAGATTTCTCAAAAAATTTATAAAAAAGAAAAATATCCGTGCTTCTTCTTCGTTGGTCGAAAAAGGGTAGCCTGCTGATGACGTGTTTTATTTTGGGGGCGTTTTTTAATGAATTGTTTTACTTTAATAATGAAGAGGCATTTACACATTTACATGTTGTCTATATATTGATTCTTATATATAAAGATTTATTTAAAAATGTATTAGAAAAGAAAAATATCCATGCTTCTTCTTCGTTCGTCGAGGAAGGGTAGCCTGCTGATGACGCATTTTATTTTGGTGGCGGGGGAGTCATTTAAACATTTAAAATATTATATAAATAACATGTATTATTATTATTATTATTATCATTATTACTATTATTTACATGTTGTGTGTACATGGCTTTTTCCCAACACAAATGTATAAAAATATATATTAAAAATTAAAATATCCGTGCTTCTTCTTCGTTCGTCGAGCCTGTTGATGACGCGTTTTATTTTGGGGCGTTTTTTTCTGAGCGGTTTTTTTCCCCCGATGTAAAACCTGTCTGTTCTCAGAGTAGAGCAGAAGGAGAAGGCAGTTGTGAGGAAACTGCTAGCATGTAATGTAGCATCTGTCTTGTCTTGTTTTTGCAATATGAAGAATGGAAGAAGACGACGTTTCTATCAGAGAGCAGAACTTCCACAGCCAAGTTCGAGAATACATTGTGAGTAACGTACCGGAGGCTAATTCACAAAGCTAACGATGCTAACAACGTCCTCTAATGCAACAGTGGTGTTAAGCTAACATTAGCATGAACTGTCAGTTGGACACTTAAATCTATTAAGGTTCATTTTATATGTTTATTTGATGGGGATCTGTCTTATTTAATGTCCGATTTAAGTCTGATGTTGTTTAAATATTAAGCGATGAGCTAGTTAAAGTTAGCTTGTGTCATTGATAACAGTGATAGAACTTAGCTAGTGTATTGGTTGATATTGCTATAGCCTTGTTATTACTATGTTAAACCTGGACACTATTTCCCTGCCCTTATTTATCCAAACTGATGGAAAGTACATTCACTTAAGTACTATTCAAGATAAGACTTTGTTTATTAACACGAGCTACAAAAGATTAAGAGCAATATTTTAAAGTTATGTTGTTATCTTACAAACGTTTCCCATTTGCACTTTTACATTTCCTTGTGAGTTGGACATATGTAAATGCATGCTGATGATCTTCCTGTGTTATAATCCATTGAGTTTCTGGACGTCTATACAAAGAGTTGCAGTACATCTTCTTCCTTAGACACTTCTGAGATATATAAACTAGCAGATGTCTCTCCAGCTCAACACCTCAGCTTTTGTGTCACATTTTGTCCCAAGCATCTCTTTACACCAGACTCTCAGTGTCCCGTATCACGGTCTTAACGTACGGTAACATCGCATAATATTGTAATGAGGCTGTAAGCTTAATATCTAGTGAGTGTTATCTGCAGGTACATGTGCTACTTTGCAGCCACAGTTTCTCTGGTGTTAAGTTTCAACTTGGTAAACATGACACAATAGTACCCTCTTTTTAGACCTGAACCGTTATAGTGTCCCCCTACTGTAGAGAATTATGAAGAATGCATGTTCCACAGAAACCAGGTTGACCCAGAATAATGTGTGACTTGTTTCTGCTTTTGCTCAGTAATTCCATTTTCTCCCTACCACCTCTTTACAAGCGTGTAACATCTTTCACATGCTTTTTTGCACAAAGATGCACTGTTGCACAAAAAGTACTTCCATCCAAACCTGAACAACCACCTTTCTGCTGGAAAATATCGCATAAAAAACACTTTCAAACATCGCACTGCTGCCCCTGACCTCCAGCCTTTAGTCCATATATCATAGAGGTGTAACATACTTTTCTAAATTGGATTTTCACTTCGCTCTGCATCAGCCAATCCGCTCGCTACTCCCTCACTGCGAGTTGGACCCAAAACCCCTTTAATTAAAACACAATTAAGCTTTCCTGGTTTAAAAATAGTGAAACAAGCTCTCTGTTGATATCAGGACAGCAGAACGTTTACACATCTTTGGTTGCAGAGTGAAAACCCACCAGTTGAGATCATTTGAAACTAATGCCTAATGAGGTTTGTCTGATTTAAAGTGAATATATCTGCAGAGTTGATGTCCTTATGGTTTGTTGCACATGTTGTAAGTCTCTTTGGATAATGCAATGTTTGTAAGAAGCTGGGTTTGCTGCTTTGCTTTGGAACCCCGTGGTGTTGTCCGTTCTGCTCGTTATCTCTTCCCATGCTGTTGCATTGTGTCTGTGCCAGGTTATCAGCTCCGTGCACCTGATTCTGTCTGGGTTTCCCCTGGTGGGTTTACATGAGTCCCTGTCACCACATAGTTGCGCAGCTTGTGAATGTATCCGCTGTCTCTCAGTGGGAGTCGGACAGCAGGGGATGAGAAAAACACTTTACGCTGTAGCTGTCACAACACACGATATTATACATCCGAGTTTATTTACTTCTACGTCACTTTGAAACGTGGTTTGAGTCATCTCGTAAACCCAGCTCGGCCACGATGAGTTGCGCAATGTTGACGCGGTGCAAAGTGCTGACGTTGGAGCTTCTATCATTAGTCGGGGTCCCGTCCCAGTAGAAGAGGGGAATGTGAGATGTGATCCTCCGGTAAGGCCATCCCGCTTGTTGTGAGGCCCCGGTTACCCAATACATTCCATTCATGGGTCCTTTCTGGAGCTCTCTGCGTGCACTGATGGCCTGTTGGGTGCTTTTTAAATCAAATACATGTTGTGTTATAATCATTAGTAGAGAGTTATTTGAGTTATTAAGGAGCTGGCAATACAACAAATTAAATTGTTGCTCTTTTTAACAGGCTTTAACTAATATAGGAGTACTTTTTGGACAGTAAACGTGCACACTAACACACTGCACAGTCATTCTTATTGCACTCTGATCTAAACTTTGTGCTGTTTGGATTAGACATAAAAAAAACTCTTATAAGTATGAAATCAATCATTATAATACGATATTTAAAAATGGGAGCCGAAAAGTTAATTGAAGGTATTGATTGAGAACATGATAACTAACCTGGCTCTCCCTCTTACATGTGAATACATTCTGTATTTCTTTTAGTCTCTTGTGACAGTTAAACTTATATTTTCTTGTTTTGGACAACATTAAATACCGTCTGCTTCAGAAATGTGTTATTTTTCACAGTTGGACCTACAAATAATATGTAGATAAATGAAGGTACTGTAGGTCTGGCCCTATTCACTGTGTAAAAACAACTTGAAAATGCATTACATACTCCACTTCGTCACGGAAACACCTTGCATTACGATGCATATTAGACTGACAGTCATGGGTAAATATCATCAGGTGATCCTATAACAGCTGGTCTGTACAGTTAGAGCAGGATTGTATAACTCCTGTATCTTTTAATGTATAATCTGACTGCTTTTTCATTTTCATTTAATCGTTTATCTGAACAGGGACAATGCACATTAATGAACACTAAAGACGAATAATGCTTCAAGTGTAAACATGCCGGATTTTAGCTTTGAGCTAATTTCCATCCGTAGTCCCTGACATACAGCATATAAGAACATGACATTTGTAAACATAGCAAAAAAATAAATACATGGTATGCAGAAGAGCAAGAGCAGCACACAAGCATTTACCACATGGCAGTACAATGTAGCAGCTACGACATATTAAGTGCAAGAGAAGATACGGAGATGCGTAAAGTGCAAGAGGAGATGCCTCTGTGTTAAAGTGCATTTAGCGGTGATCGCACGTCTGGTTGTTTCTCAACCATTCTTTGAGTTGACCTGTAAAACTATTGAGAGTGGGACAATCCCGTGTCTCAGTCGGGAGGCTGTTCCAGCTGCCTTTTAATGGAGAGGACATTTTGTCCAAAAGTTGTCCGTCTGCGGTAGGGCTGCACGATATATCGTGTCGTGACTATAATCGCGATATGCGCATGCGCGATATTCACATCGCGTAGTAGACGTGCGATTAAAGAAAAAAAGAAAAAGTTTAATTTTTTTTAGGACTTGCGATATTAAATAGGCAAATGAACTCAAACACGTCATGTTACAATTATTTTGCTGCTTGCTACAAAAGGAAAAGTTGCACGGCTCTCATGTCAGGGCTACTTGAGTGAGTGAAAGCAAACCACCAATCACCATCAAACCTCCAAAGCAAACGGACCCGGAGATCAAAGGTCGAAACCCTGAATATAGTTTCATGTGTTTCTCCAGTTCTGCGCTGCTAACCGAGCTAGCTCAGCTTGTTGCTCTGATAACTTAAGATCCAGACGTCCGTGACTAAAATCCTTCATCCGGTTAAATGTAGTTAAAAAAATACCAATTGTATCATTACAGTTCAAGAAAGGATGGTTTGCGGGGGAAAAAACGGTCTTTTCTTCAATTCCTGTATGGTTTCACACAAGGGATATATATATATATATATCACAGGGGAAGAAAAAATCGCATGTCAGTTTTTTCAATACCGTGCAGCCCTAGTCTCACAGCAGTTATAAACCTTTTCTTACTACAATATCGAGCCACACTGTATTGTTTTTTACTTCGGCTGGTGTGTGTGTGTGTGTGTGTGGTGTGTTGTGTGTGTTGTGTGTGGTGTGTTGTGTGGGTGGGGCTGTGTGTGTGTGTGTGTGTGTGTGTGAGTGTGTGTGGCTGTGTGTGTGTAGTTGTGTGTGTGTGTGTGTGTGTGCTCAGGATGAGTTTAGCTTGTTCTTGCTGTATCGCCGACCCGGAAACTTATCTGCTCCCTCGCAGCAGCAACCGAGCCTCTTCAACGTCCCGACCAATAGAGGCTCCACAGCCGAACTCCAACAGCCGTGTAGGACAGAGAGTGAATACAACACACTATACAGAGATGCTGTATGAGAAACCAATGTGTAGTTTGGAACATTGAACATGTAAATCTATTCTAGTAGACCTCAACGATGGAACTATGATCAGTTAGAAAATGGCCGTGACATGGGACCTTTAAGTAAAAGTCACTTCCCTTTAGGTTTTAAATGGACCTGCTCACTCAAACGTTTTGATGTAGATCGTGGATTAATTCCAAATTAAAGTATTACCAGAACAAATTGATGTTTTAATGGAATCATGAGAACGGAGGATATCCAAGGTAAGACTCGGCACCTAAGGACCATTTCTCTCCCATTAACTTTCCATTCTAGGAGAAATTATGTAAAGCTGGTTTCAAGTATTGAACTTTCATGTAAGTTTAAATATTTCGCCGGTCTGACACCAGCACTTTTCTAACTTCTTGATCAATCTACAGGTACTCATCTATCTGCCTTTTTATAAGCTGCTGCTCTTCTCATTATTATCATAATCACCATCATCCAGGCCCAAAAACTTTAGTTTTCTGCGTTATTAATCCCATTTATAAATAAGTGAATGCATTAAAATAGGCAAATAACATACAATAAGCAAATAACCTTCATCACAAACGACAACAAGCTCCTCTCATCCTCGAATCAAACTCCTTAACATCTGATTTTCTTCATCTGTCACGTCTCTAGGAGTTATATACGTCTATCCGAAACCATGCATTAAAAACATTGAGAGATCGCTATGCGAGGGTACATCAGTAGGAGTGGTCGTCTACTGTTAAAGAGTCCCTTCTCCTGCTGATGTCAGAGTGTATATCAGTATGTAGTGTCTAATTACATTTAA